GGGCTCGAACTCACAGACCGTGAGATCATGACCTGAGCCGAAGTCGGACGCTTAACCGACTGAGCCACCCAGGTGTCCCATTAATCATTTTTAAGCATACAGTTCAGTGACATCAAACATATTCACAGTGTTGTGCAACCAAAACCACCATCCATCCCCAGAACTTCTCTGTATCTGTTAAATATTAACTGTTGAGAGAATATTAATTCTTTAGAACTGCTGGATTTTGGTAACAAATTGCTGCCTGCTTAGTAAAACTAGTAAACAAGGGGCCAATTCAGTGTGCATCTTATTTCACCACTGTGGATGGTTAGCACATAGGCTTCCGGTGGGACACCCAGGCAATGGAGCTTCACTGGAGCATGAAAACCCCAGCATTTTCTGTGTGCCACCAACAGATGGAACACCATCAATGAGCTGGTTCCCAAAATGGTCACCAGAAGACCTGACCCACAACTTAAGCAAAAGTGGGAGAGTCTAGTAGGACCTAAGATCCAGGCTGGTTCCTACCTTGTGCAAAAACTCCAATTTCTCCCCATTGTTCACAAGCTTGTAGGTATAGACAAAGCCCCCTGCTACAGACCGGGGATTGAGTATCAGGTCTTTGGCCACGCCCACCAACACATACCAATCATCACCAGTATTGGAGAACCTACAAACAGCCACACTGTATACAGAGAAAGAAGCAGGAATCAAGCATTAGTTATAGGCCAGAAAATTCCCATAAGAGCCTCCAAAACCCTGGAGCTGATGTCCTGAGCTCCTTACCTAAAAGCAGCCTCATTCTGTTCTAGCTGGACAAGGTCTAGTGTGTTCCCTTGAATAGGATTCATGACTCGGATCACAGAGGCCCACTGCCCATTGCCAGCCTTAGGAGCTCCAAAAATGGATTCAGGGAGGTTTTCATTCAGGAACGCTGCTGCCATCTCTGCAGCAAGCTCCCGCTCGTCCTCCCCTGCTGCTTCTACCATTTCCTAAATCAAAAACAAAACAAACGAAAATAAAAACAAGGAAGAGTTGGTGTGTTCAGAAGTGGGTGCTGGGTGAGAAGTGGTCAAGTAGCAAAAACACCTCCAAGGAGAGTTCATATTATATACAATAGCAAAGTCTGTAGGCCAAAACCAAATTTCCCAAGACAAAGATTAAAGGGAAAGGTGTATACATAAGGGGAGGAGGGGAAACCACTAAAGGGGAAATCAGGTACTTCTTTTTTTTAATACCAAAAAAACTGAACATCAACTGACAAATAACCGACAAATGGTCTGAAATACATAAAATGAAAACACAACTCTTCCACCTACCCCATCTAACTTCCCATGCTAAGACTACTATTTGTCTCCTCTCTTCCAGGCCAGATACAGTTTTACATGGTTGGATCTATTTGTTTTTTGCTGGGAAATGATTTCTGGAAAGAAGAAGTGTTGTGGAAAATATGAAAGCTGTCTCCTTTGGGCTCAAATCCAGGAAACACATACAGAGACTGTTTAGGAAGCTCAAAGACTGAACAACTATGTTCTAAGAAAGAAAGTTGAGTACTAAATAAACCCAGGTCAGTATATTAGTTCCAAGTCACAAAAAAACCTCTAAAACTAAGGATTCTGGCAAAGGGCTCTACTTAAAGGACCTGAAAAGAGCCTGGATCTTTAGAATATAATAAAAAAATTACACAAGTTTAAACTTTTCAACAAAATTTCAGTGCCTTTTAATTGAACCCTAAAAGTCAAGTCTCATTACCTCTGCCATCTGTTGCTTTCTCTGAGCTTTTGTAGCTTCTGTGTAGGCATTGTGGTCTGTCTCAATGATGATAAGGTTGTTACTCTCTGGGTGAATGACAAATTTCCTGGGTGTATACTGCAACGGAAAGGCTACCTGATTGAAGACAGCACCTAGCTTCTCCAATGCTAAAATCCTATGGGGAGAAAGGCAGGGAATTAATAGATTATTCATTCAGGAACTAGAAAATGATGTCAAAATAGTCCGTGAGCAGTCACAGCAAATGCATCACCCCTCAAGCTCTAATGCTGGCAGTAAGAAGCATGCCTTCTAATATAGAAGATTCTGCACAATAGACAAATCCTAGAAGGGACTTCCACTCCAGGAACAGCCAGCAACTATTCATGGTGACTCTGGTTTTCACCGTTGAAACCCACATTAGAACCTTCAAAGGAGGGGCACCTGGGTGGCTCAGTCAGTTAAGCCTCTGACTTCAGCTCAGGCCAAGATCTCAGGGTTGTGGGTTCAAGCCCCACATCGGGCTCTGTACTGACAGCTCAGAGCCTGAAGCATACTTCGATTTCTGTCTCCCTCTCTCCCTCTGCCCTTCCCTAGCTCACTGTCTCTCTCAAAAATAAATCAACATTAAAAAAGAGAGATAAAACACCATGCAGGTAAAGCAATTCTGCTGAAATAGAAGGTATATATGTGTGTGGAGGTTAGAGAGAGAGTGAACAATGACTGAAAAGATCCTGAAAGCTACTGCATAGATCTGGGAGGTCACCTGGTAAGTTATCCACTTGGTAAGTTATAGCCTCTTGATAGAGCTGCTCTTATGACGAGCCAATACTTACAACCAGGACATGAACATGGGTGGCAGCAAAAGACCAAAAAAGAAAAAAACAAACCCAAAACTTGAGACAGTCAAAACAATATAGATAGTGCACACTCTAACATACTCAGCATAAATAGGAGTCTGTCAACTTACAAAAGGCCTAAAGAATTTATACTGAGGTTAAAACTGAACATGTAACACTGCAAATAAGACAGAATGAGAATGAGAAAAAGATATCAGAGATTCAATTCCCGCCTGCTCTAAAACTAATCCAATGGCGCTGCCCTGGAAAACAAGACTCTTAAATCTTAAGGAAAGTGAACTGTACTGATCAGTATATTAAAACTTGGCCGTGAAAATCTAAACAGAAACTAAAACTTCAGACACTGAAACTTGGCTACCAATACTTCATTAAAATCCTGAGCCAAATGAAGGTTTCAGTTCCAACACCCTAGTCCCACGGTGAAGAGTCGGCTCACTGCCACCAAGTCATCGCTTCATCACTTCTGCCAACACTCTAGCAGAACCAGAATCCCAGCCATTGGCAGAACTTCCCAGTGGGCTTGCAGTGTGGAACTCTCACCTCAGGGTATTGGTGGAGATGGCAACAATGCCCTCAGGACACTGTTCAGAGGCGAAGCCAGACGCAAATTCCAGGGTCTCATAAGACAAGGGGGTGAGATGGAAACGAGACTGGTAAGAATAGCTCAACCACGAGCGGCTAGACATGGCCAACACCTGAGGAAAGAAAAACACCAATAAGCTTGAGATAAACACAAACTTGGAATGCTAACCGAACTCCGTACCTGTAACTTTCAGTCTGCAAAATATCCCAACGAATTTTGGAAACCTAAAAGGCTACCTTAAGATTAAAAAGAGTCCTGGAGAAGAGGCAGTATGTATGGCTTACTATCTGCTCAAAGCATGAGCTACTAGCTGTTATGACCTAATCACTCAATCTCTTTACATTTCCACATGTGTAAAATGCGAATACTATCATAAGGCTGGACAGTTGCAAGAATGACATGCTATTGCACCTAATGCTGACTGCAAGTCAAGAATTAGCATAGCACCCAGCAATAGTAACATTCTTAGATACAAAGGACACAATGTTTCCCAATCTCTTTCACATTACTTGGTAAACCCTGGTATTGGTACAAGGTTGCTTGTGGAAAAAGGTACCCCAGATGGGAGGTTTCTAGCTACCTCTCAATCACCTCCATTTGCCCAGCCTGAGGGCTGAACAGATCCATATCCTAACCTACCCACAACCAAAACAGCTCAATGCCATGGAAAGCTCTGGATGAAGGGATCCACAACTTCCTACATGAAAGAAACTAACTATATATGGGTGAATTAATGATAGCAAAACTTACACCAAGGGAACTTTTCTCAGCTGATGCCACTAACGTCTAAACATGCTGCCTGCCCACTTTCATTACTTACTGCCTCTTGGCCTTGCATCCGGACACGAAAGAGTTTCACAGGACGAGACCCCAGGTACCTAGTGCGGGTGTCAGACAGATCCCCAGTGACGGGGTCCAGGACAGTTCTCAGCAGCACACCATTCTAATAAAAAAGAGAAAGTGGGTGAAACTTATCCATAATGGAAGATCCCCCCCTTGGCGACTTCACAAAACATGTAAGTTCAGAATAGATGGAAGGAAATGACTTGCTGGTTTAAAGAATATCCTAATGATCAGCCAGCCACTTGCTCATTCAAGTAGTTACTGAACATTTACTAAATGAAAAGCACTTATTTTTCACTGTATATCCTTTAAAATTCTTTTACCATGTATGTTAAACTATTCTTTTTTAAAGTTTATTTATTTGTTTTGAGAGAGACAGAGAGAGTGCAATGGGGGAAGGGGTAGAGAAAGAGGGAGAATCTCAAGCAGGCTCTGTGAACTCACAAACTGTGTTTGCCTGGGCTTGTCCCTGAGTTGGGTTCTGCCTGTGATAGCAAGAAGCCTGCTTGGGATTCTCTCTCCATCTCTCTCTCCCCCTCCCCTACTCACGCATGTTCGCTCCCTAAAAACAGACATTAAAAAAAAAGACTCTTAAGAGAACTGGCTAATTCAGGGCTGGGGCAAAATTATTCCAACTGTATATAGGGCACTCTGTTATGCCAGAAGGAAGGCCCCAAAGAGAATGGGGTCATATTCAAATGACAAAAAACCTAACTTCAAAAGGGAACTTCTATTCATCTAAAAAGAGGCAATTTAGTATCCACAAATGAAAAAGACAATAGTTTAAAGCACAAATATATAAAAATCTGCAAGTTCAGGTTATCCAAAAAAACTAAAAATAAAAAATAACAAAAAATTACTTCATTAGTCCCCACTGGAGACTACTCTGGCACCAATTCCTTACTGTGAAAACTGATAAACAAAGGGGAAAAAACAAAGTACTTATCCTTTCCCTCTACAAACTGTATTTTGGGATAGGCAAATTTCCTCTTTGGAGAAAAGTTCCAGCTAATAAAATGAAGAATGAAATAGAAAATTGTCATTTCCCAGTCCCTAATGACATAATGAATCTAGGCAATGTGTCATAAATGACTGTTATTAGGTAAAAGGTTGATGAGAAGATAATGTGTCCTTAAGTATAAGATACAAAATATCAGGGGGCACTGGGTGGCTCAGTCAGTTAAGAGTCTGACTCTTGATTTCAGTTCAGGACACGATCTCTCGGGTTCAAGAGTTTGAGCCCTGCATCGGGCTCTGGGCTGACAGCTCAGAGCGTGGAGCCTACTTTGGATTCTGTGTCTCCCTTTCTCTCTGTTTGCACTATATCTCTCTCAAAAATAAATATACGTCGGGGCACCTGGGTTACTCAGTCGGTTAAGCGTCCCACTTCAGCTCTGGTTATGATCTCACAGTTGATGAGTTCGAGCCCCACA